TGTTTGATAAGAAAAAAACTAAGATTTCAATAGATGGGCCAACTGAAGTGGGAAGGGGCTCGTATATTTCAAGGACTATAGAGTTTACTCTTGTTTTCTGAACTAAACAAATTCCTTAAGTTTGGTTACAGCTAAGGCATTAATAAATAGGAAGAATTGAACCCGGTCTTTGACAAAATATATGTGATTCTATCCAACTTTCTTTTGGATACAAGCAAGGTATTTTATAGTATAAGTCTTCAAATATATGTTTAAGAAGCTACTGTTCGTAAGTTTTGGGACTGTGATAAGTTGAGTATGCGTCTAAACATTGTCAGTGAATATTAGCTGAGAGTAGATAAGAGTTTAATTATCCAAGTGGTGTATCAGAAAAATAGAAATAGTTAATTCTTCTGATCTTTTATCGAATATATCAGAAAATACTCTCTTTTAAATATATCAAATATGACTCCTCTAATGTTTACGAAACTTTGTTTATTTATAATAATTTATGAGACTAAATATCGAGAAAAATCGCATCAAAGTATTTTTCCACAAATACCTATCTAAATTCTACTAATAAGTAGATGACTACAGTTTACGGATACATTGCACAACAATGGAAATTCACAGACCAGTTAAAAAAATATATTCAATCGATTCTTTCGACTTCAATTAACTATGAATCAGATTAAACCCAATGTACAGACTTTGTGCCCAAGTAGGTGACGACTCCTGGAAAGGTTGACCGTAGTGGTAGTGCGAGATCTTCTGTGCACAGCGCAGAACGTCAATATGTTATGAGCCAGAGGACGCATGGGTTCTCTGTCGTTTGATGAGGATGAAAATCAGTTTAGCAAGATAATGGTGGGTGGTGCTCGTCAGCTACTTGCGCATTAGTAACAGTGCTTAAATTACCTTCTACAGCTGCATAGGCTACATGGTAAGGTAGTGATTTAATGCGGTATCTCATATTGTAACTACAAAGGGTCATGTAGGTTCTCTGATCAGATTGAAGGTGTGCTACAGTGATTTTGTTATCCTAAATCTATAACGCATTTACCTATCATGGTGAAGGAAATTCTATCATTCTATCCAGTAGATGCAAAGGTCTATCAAAACGTACGCTTAAAAAAAGTTGACAAACTGAGCCATTAATTTAATGATCACAGACTACAAACATATCATCAATCAAAACTTCTTCTTGCGAACAAAATATACAAATATACAAAGAAAATAAAACACACAGTTAGAAATTAATTGATTTGGATAACAGTTTATATGCAAATAACTTTAAAAGGAAGTCGTGGTGCCATTTTGAACTGAAAAGTGACGTTGAAAAGCTCATCTTTTTTCGCAACATATCCCACACAAACATGTTCAATGGGCAGAGGGGCTGTAGATTTAGTAACAAAGAGGCTAACTTGGACATTATTTAAGCAGTCCATTGTAGCTTAACAAAATGGAGATTGGCATTATCGTAGGGAAGAAGGTGTTTTGTAGCGTTGAATATAAAGTGTGAACACTCCCTAACGTGTGTAATATGCTTAAGATACACTATGTCATGTAGAGTGCGTCACTTGTCAATTGTCCGTCGCACGAAAGTGTACGCTCCTAAAATATTCAATAAAGTATCTGCATAAATCTAAATGCATCCGTTGTTTTAATAAATAAAACTGCAACAAAATATGACGCTGCAGTAAAAAATTGGGCGGATTTAGCTTAAAAGCGCAAAAGTGTAAAATCGTGACGTTGGAGGTGTAAAAGTGGTTGATAGCATCCGGGGCAAGTATGAAGACAACAGAAAATGGCCGGTATCGTGGGTCCACCAGTAAAACTTCCCCCTGCTTTCAACATGCAAGCTCAAAATGCAGCGACTGAATGGAAATTTTGATTGACAGCGTTCCAAGATTACCTAGTGGCAATTGGGCAGGATCAAGCCCACGACAACATTGAACTTGCAATTCTGAGAAACATCATAGGACATGAAGCAGCTAAAGTTATGTCCACATTCACATTGGCAGAAAATTCAGTCAATAAATACCAGCAGATGATCGAAGAAATAGGTAAATATAGTATGTGAATCCACGGAGGAACGAATGTTTCGAGAAATGCTTATTCTTGAACGGAACTCAGAAGGAGGGAGAGGCATTCGAGCAATTTATAACAGAGTGTAAGCAGGTTGATAAGTCCTGCAAATATAATGAGTTAGACCGAAACCACAGTCATGAGGATAAAGCTCTTAGCGATAAAATAGTAATGGGCATAAGAGACCCCACTACATGAGAGGCACTGTTACGAATTGATCAGGCCATAAATATATGTAGGACTTCAGAACAAAGTAAGCAACAGAGTGTGCAGTTACAAAGTCAAGACACAGTAGAAAATATAAATTTTGTCAAGAAAAATCAGGGAAAAAGGAATTTCAAATACCTAAAGCATGAAAAGAAAACTTTTAAGTGTCAAGGTTTAAAAACACATGCAGCTCGAGATTGCCCAGCCTTCGGGAAGAAGTGTGGGAAATGTGGAATAGAAAACCATTTTGCGGCAGCCTACAGAGTGAAAAATATTCGAAATGTAGAGCAAGATCGGGCTGGAGACAATTGATAGGTTTGCAAACAGGGTAACAAAACAAAATCCAGAGAATAAAACTGTAACTACATTTAATGAATACATTCTTGTTGAAAACAGAAAGATGAAAGTAAAGATAGATACGGGGGCGGATGTAAGTGTTATTCCCCAAACAATTTTTAAATCTATCGATAAACAATTTAGAATAAGACCTATCCCATATATTTTGAAAGAATTTCAAGGTGCTGAGTCAAAAATGACATATATAAATATCTTTGTGATAGTAAACGATGCTAGACAAGTAGTTACTGTAAGGAGGTCAAGCATGTATAAATTTGAATTTAATAAAAGGGGTTGTTAACCTAAATTTAAAGCGCATAAATAAAGAGAAAAAAGACATTTATTAAGGAAAATATTGACATTTTCAATGAGATTGATTGATTTCCTGGGAGGCACAACAAACCTCTAAAAGAAAATTTTATGAATGTATGTCATCCTCCGACAAAAATTCCTTTTGCAATTAGAGATGAGCAGGAAAATGATCTAGATAGACTAGTAAAGCGCAAAGCAATTGTGGAAGTTGATGAAGTAAAAGCAGAGGCTAGCATAAATAGAATGGTAATTGTAGAAAAGCCAAATGGAAAAATCATACTTTGCTTAGACCCAAATGATTTGAACGAACAGATCGTTTTGCGCATTTTTTGAAGATAAAATATATTTTACTGTCATTGACTTGGCTGAAGGTTACCACCACATAGTTATAAATGGAAATCTTCTTGGAAATGTTGCTTTGCCACTCCTTTGGGCACTTATGGACTTATTATAGTACCTTATGGTTTGTCAAACTCCCAAGATATATTTTAAGATGTAGGAGAAAAACATTTTGGTAACACAAAACGTGCGCGTGCGCAGACTCACAATCTGTTGTGACAATCTGGCGAAGAAGTGAACCTGTGGTAATTGGTGAACCATTATTCATTCACACACCAACATCTGAGCATTCGATACGGCCAGTCTTTAAAGTATGAATGCAAGGACCTGACTTTTATAAATTCCTGCTGGAAAAAATACATTTTAGCAAAAATTGTAATATGCCAAAATGAGTTAAAAGAACTTAAAATTAGAACGTATAATTTACTTTTCATTTATAATAATTATTGACTTATAACTTGTTTTATACTATGTTGTATATTTCCAGATTATTTTATTATTTACATCAGGGGTGTCCAACTCCTTTCTTGCGGCCCGCTGCACGGGTCATATATACATCACAAGTATAAATTACTCTCAAATACCGAATATGCATATACCTATTAAAACTCAGTAATAATGTTGTATAGAAAGATTTTATAATGCGGCCCTCCAAACTGCATTTTTTTTTTGAAGTGGCCCTTGGGCCACATTAAGTTGGACAGCCCTGATTTACATTACCAAAATAAATATAATGTTTTTAATTTGATGCCAAGAAGAAATGTGTTATTTATTATTTTCTATTACTTAATTTAGATGAGGCAGCCCTACATAACCAGAATCGAGAAAACTGGAATTGTGAATGGTCTAACTTTGTTTCTAGTCATGAGTGATCGTGCGGTTTAGGAATGCATGATAAACGAAGACGAGTCGGAAGGCGACGAGGAGAACGGCGTAATGAGGTTTCCAGTTGAACGCGTACGTACATGTAAGAGGTATGTGCAACTTGGATCGCAACTTTTTTATAAGCCTGCTAACGTTACGGCGCGTGACACAGAACCTAACGCAAAATTTAACAGTTATTCGCATATTTGAATACCAAACTTATAACACATATCCTGGTAATTTATATTATTAATTGAATAAACTAAATAAAACATAGCAAACAGTCTCAGAGGAAGCTACGCCGAGCAAAACAAGACTGTTTCAGACAAGATGATGCTCGTCCCCATATTGCTACAGCTACTTGTACAATAATGCTGCGGTCAGCCAACTTTCTTTTGCCCATTGAAGATTTGTGGGATATAATGACGGTAGAGTTGCTCCTACACCCCGTACTCTGCAAATTGTAGCAGATGTTTGGAACCAAATGCTTGGGATGAGATACTGCACAAAGAGATAAATCACCTCTTTAGAAGCATGGTCGACGGCTGAAAGAAAGTATATGGCATTGGGGCGGTCCAACACGTTATTATAAAAATCCTGCGATGCAGCCAGTGGTTTAACTCCAACAACATTTAATGGCATCTTCCTTTTACCTATATCTAACTGTCTACAACATTTCATTGAAATTAAATCATTTCACTGGGTGTCCTATTTTCTTTATCATTAAGTATATAATAGTCATTTTAAACAAATCAGCTTTTTTTATTATGAAATACAATACCCCAAACTTGTAAAGGGTTCATATTACAGAATATTGTCAAGTCAAATGCCTGTATATACGAATAGGGATTCTCATATACTATAATCAAAATTACCTAGGGGTTAATTCATCTCTAGAACTTCCACTTTGAAAAACACCTAGAGTATCATCAGGATCCTCCTCATCCAGGTACTTGACGTCTCTAAGTTCCAAACCATTGCATGTTCTTATCATAACCCTGTGATTTGAGCTAAAAGCATATGGTGGTCAACTCACTCTGTGGGTAAGCAATGTATATCTAAGGAAGCTTAAAAACCAGCAGCCATTTAAACATTTTCTGCTATTATTTCTCATAGGTGCTTTCAATTGTTCACACCTATATCAAACTTATTTGAGGCAAGTTCAAGGAACGTGTCCTAGCAACAAAACGATATGGTCTACCACTTCTGTCTTCTTGCTATATGCAAAAGCAAGAAAGTTGTTTCCTTGGCAAAATTTTGTTTTAGTGAAAGAAAGAAAATTTTCAGCATCTATTTCTTTAAACTGGTCTGGTTAGCGTAAAACTGGTGACACTTTCACGAATCTTCACTTTTTATACAGGTTTGTTTAAAAACACTCAGAATCAGCTATTTTATCTTATCCAGCATTATTCTTTGCAAAAATGAAAAGAAACCTATACACAAAATATAATTATGAATGAAGGCGTTTGCTTGAAGCCAAATTAGAAACACAAATATCAAACGACTAGACCTATACCGCACTGCTGATTGGTAAAAAGCATGAAACAACGTTGTATACTGTTGGCTATGATCCCAGAGATAGAAAGCAGACAGATCTTATCCAGCTGATGGTCACGCCATAACTTAAGAACAACTTTACTGATTTCATTTGTCTTTTTGTTTAACAGTTTGACCGCCACACCAAAATCACCAGATGGATCCCGTGCGCCACACTAATTTTCTTATGAAAATGTATTTGAAATGGTTTATCAACACACCTTAGATATATTATCTATACAGGGTGACTTCGAAGTTTAGTCATTTATTTTAACAGCGAGTAGATCTGATCAAAAGAAATGTTTTTTCCTTTAACATTTTTCTGGTAAAATTAAAGTAACAAAGTTATAGCCCTTTAGAAGTTTGAGTACCGCCCTGTCTCAATAATAATATTATGTGCTCGTGTTTGGCAACAACGGATATAATCCGCCTTATCGGTTCACCGCATTGGAAACAAAAAAGCGAAAGAATTTGAAACGCTTATCACGATGTTTTTACTACAATTTTATTCAGTTGTATTCAGTCAATGTGTCAGTCGGTAACGCGTGAATGAATAGTGGTGTTTGTTGCGTGGCTCAAACGAAATAAAAAATGGCACATGTTTACGAAAATGCTGAACTCGTGGACATGATTCTTCGTTACGAGGGGGGAGTCTTTACAAAATGCTGCCGCGGCATCATGAATTTATGTGGATCGGTTTCAAAATCGAGTGCAACCAACCCCTCGTGCCTTTGTTAATGTAGTACAAAGGGCTCGTGAATCAGGTGACTTAAGACCTCACAGGGGAGGGCATGCCAGCGCTCCAAGACTGCACGATCAAATACAGGTCCGCACTGAAATACTTGTCGGGCGGATACTTTATAAAACAAGGTAACATTTTTTTTTATTTTTACACACATATTTTGGTTTATCTTCCTTCTACAATCATTATCTGAAAATAAATGACTCAACTTCAAAGTCACCCTGTATAATTTCTTTGTATTCTTTGTAATTTAACTAGTGGACAAAAAATATACACGTGGCCTGGAGGAACATTTCTTTGTTGTCCGCCGCGTGTATAGGTCTGGATACACTCTTCAGATTTGGCATTTCTTGTCCATAACAGTAGCATTGATGAGGTAATGTATGTTAGTTCTGCTTCAAATGTCGCGTTGTGCTGTTCATTTACGAGTCCTGACTAGTACCAGCACAGAATTAGCTGAAAAATTACAAGGCAGGAAAACGCATCTAGTGGGAACCCTATGAAAAAATCGTAGAGGTATTCCGAAATAAATACTATCCACTAAACTGAAGAAAGGCGAAATTGTAGGGTGGGAGAAAAACGGTATCTTTATTTTCGAATGGAAAGATAAGCGAGATGTGCTAATGCTTACCACTAGGCATAAACTCAACTTCGCTGAAGTCTCAGGCAGAACTGAGGCCAAAAAGAAGCCAAAAGCTATTGTAGCTTATAATAATGCAAAAAGCTTTATCGATGTATCCGACCAGTTGTCATCCTGTTCTACCTCAGACGGAGTATCAAATGGTAGAGGAAGGTGGCTGTTGAGTTACTTACTAAAAAGCGTCGTAAACGCCCATTATTTATATAATAAGAATAAAAATGCACGAGAAAGAATACGTGTAACAGTCCCAAGCCTCTTGCCATCGTTGAAGTAGCAGTTCTAATATTTGCAGCTCTATCGGTGGAAAATCTGCAATTACTACGACAGCTACAGTGGAGACTGTGCGATATGCGCTACATACTCGTAATGCCATTTTCCTTCAAGTTTCTGCCGTAGCTTGGCGCGATTGACTGCTGAGCGCCATATTGGTGCTGCATAGAGGAGGGCTGATAGCGCCGTTTTGGACGCCGTTTGAACCTTTTAGTCTATATCGTCTGGTATCCAGCCAGACTCCCAAGTACTTCAAAGATTTGGTCATCCTTCTCTTGCGTTTTCTCCGGTGCAATTTGCAGCGCGTGGTCTTCCAGCCAGCCAATTATCTCTTCGATAGCGCAGTTTGCTTTGCTAATCAGTTCCTCTTGGGTCCTTGCTACCACCACTATTGCCAAATCGTCCGCATAGGCTACTATAGAAATCCTATCTGGCATTTGTAACCGCATAACTTCATCGTACAGCAGATTCCATAGGGTAGGTCCCAAAATTGATTCCTGCGGACCGCCGCTGAAAACTGGTTTCTCAGCAATACCATTGTCCGTATTACGAAGCATACCCTTTCGATTCTGCAAGTAATCGATAATTAGCCGGAGGGTGTCTCCACTAACTCTTCTGCTCACCAGGGCATCGACAATCCCTTGACGTGTTGCAGCGTTAAAAGCATTTCTTATGTCTATTGTGATCATCGCGCATAATTCTAATTTGCGGTTGCTCACTACTTCCGCGCTCTTTGCAAAGCTTATCACGTAGTTGATAGCATCAAGGGTTGATTTACCACGTCTGAAACCATACGGTCTTGCCGATATTGATTCATTTACTTCTTCTAGTAGGCGTTCGAGGATCATATACTCTAATAGCTTTCCAGCTGCGTCTAATAATGAAATCGGACAGAAATCCGCTGCAACCATTAGAGGTTTATGCCTCTTCGGTAATAGGATCAGTTCCGCACATTTCCAAATTGCGGGGAAGCTGCCAGTCGTGATAGCATTGCTCATAACCTTCAGCATATTTTCTAGAAATTGCCTTGTCGCGAGTTTTACTAACTCCGATGGTATGTTGTTATCGGTAAACTATATTGCCCGTTATACAAAAAGGAGGATCGTCTGGTTGGTCGTAAGGGATGTAGATCTATCCCTCCGACGGCGACCCAGGCCTAGCATTCAATGTCTTACAAATTAATGTAGACAGGGGAAGACAAGCTCATGACATTCTGGAAGCTACGGCTACGACATCCGAGCCGATGTACTACTCGTCGCTGAACCCAACAAGAATATTGTAAGCTCTTCCCAAAACTGGTATACTGACCAACTTTTAAACGCAGCAATATCTATTCGTAGTCGCAACGGGTCCATAGTAGCGCACGGATCCGGTGCAGGTTTTGTGCGGATAGATACAGGTCCAGTGATGATTACAGCTGCTATTTCTCACCGAGTGAAGAGAGTGCGGATTTTAAAGACGATCTGGATGAACTTAAAGGGACCTTGACGTTTTCCACCAAGGACGTCATTTTAGGCGGTGATTTCAACGCAAAGTCGTCGGAATGGGGTATGCACTTTTCGGATAGACGTGGTGCAAATTTGACAGAATGGCTGGCAGAATTAACTCTGGTTGTTATGAATGAAGGCAATGCTCCAACTTTTGTCTGAGGAGTATCAACGTCCATACTTGACCTGACTACAACATCAGAAGACGGTTGCGCACATATACGCAACTGGAGGGTACTTGAGAATGAGAGTTTAAGTCTACACCGTTATATAACCTTCCAATATAGCGCGGAAACACATCCAACTTGTAGTACTGTGGAGAGAGGATGGGTACTGAAGCGACTGGATGCGGGTATTTTCGGTGCCGTTTTGGGCCAGAGAATACTGAACAACGATGTCAACAATGCTGAGGCGCTGACAAGAGCTCTAACAGAAACCTGCAACACCTCTATGCCTAAGAGGCGCCTCAATCCGAAAAGAAAGCCTGTCTACTGGTGGACTCAAGAAATACCAGATCTCCGCAGGGACAGAGCCCCCGACTCCACGCGCGACCTTCTAGAGGAAGCCTACAAAACAACGAGAAAGATGCTACGCCAAGCCATTAAATCGTCGAAGAGAAGATGCTGGCAGGGACTTCTCCTAGACATCAACGACGATGTATGGGGAAAAGGATACCAGATAGCAGTCTCCAGACTGAAGCTTACTTCTTCCTACATTGCGATCCCTTTTCCTAAGAAGTTGGAATTTGTCGAGATCCTGTTTCCAGTCATGGTTGCAGTAGCGTGGGAGGAGACGACATCTTGTGGCAGCTGCGGATAGACTGAAGCCCAACTAGAGACCAGGGCCTGACAAGAGGTCGCAGAACTTGCAATGCTATGAAGAAGTTAAACTGACGGACAACGAGAAGCGAGAAATGAAGTTGAACAGGATAGAAGGACTGAAATTCACAACGTAGAAGTGTCGCATGCAATCCCAATCGAGCTGCATTAGTTATGACGTGCCAATCCATTACCATTACAGTTCACAACAAATCGTTGCTATTGGACCATATTGTGCCCATATTGCAAGGCTTTCAAGTTTAAAAAGGAAGCCCCTGGATTATGTTGCGCTAGTGGAAAAGTCAAAATGACTCTACTGGTACCATCACCAGAGCCACTACATTCATTGGTTTCCGAAAATCAGCCAGATTCTATACTTTTTCGATTTATATCCAGAAATACAATATTTGCTTTCAAATGACGTCATTTGGTGCAACAAAAGTCATTCGACATAATTTTATGCCCACTTTCAAGGTAAGTTGATGGGGGAATGCCAGTGCTGCCAACGAATTTTGCTAGCCACATGGGGGTAAAAACGCTTCTCTACATAGTTACCTATATGTACCCTTTCATTATTCATTATTCATCTCATCTTATAGCTAAGAAACGACAACGTCTTTCGGGTCAGCTAGTTTTTTATAGAAATCATTCTCTATTCTGAGCATCGTTTATTTCATTCCTTTAGTACAATAGTAGTAATAATAATATGATTCAATAGAAGCTTGTTTTAAAAAATACTTATGTACAATAACTTGTTACCTAAAAACTTGAACCCATATGACAGCAACAAGGTTACAAACTTGCGAAAGGATGGCAAAACCCTAGATTTGTTGTTTTTACTGCTGTGAGCGCATTTCGTCATCATCATCACTGTGAGCTTTGTTGTTTGGAACTTAGAAAGCCTGGAGACAAGTGGAGTACGTCTGTGACTGTATAGCTGAAACAGTGTCCTAAGGTCTATCTCAGCGCCAAACAAACAAAAAAATTGCGATGAGCGTCGTAGTATCTGAAGCAGGAAATTCGCATAGCTTATGGAAGCCACAGACAGCTAATATCTAATACGTAGTATGAATTTTGCATTTGTCTGCATGAATTTCTGCTGTCAGAGTTGCATCTTTTTACATATTTACGGTGTGTTATGACCGCTCTTTTTTCTTTATTATTTCGAAAATCTGAAATGGTCTACCAGCAAACACATGGTAAAATATCTTTAACATTTTATCTGTCTTTAACAATAATGACCCAGCTTAATTAATATGGCACTTACTTATTTGTATTTGAGTTTTAATTAGCCTGTTAAGATGTGTAAGTGACTGCTGACTCAAACTAAATGCTTTATATGTATATGCGTGTGTGGGATAATATGAATCTACTTATTACTCTTGTTCTTCATAATAATCAACTAAGCATTAAGTTGGATGCCTACTACTACCTTCGATCCAATTGATAGTGAGGCCTTCTCATCACCAACAATCTTGGAAGAATATGGATGAAAACTCGTCGAACCCACAAGGACATCACATGAGTTTGTGGAGAGCGAAAATGTACGTTCAAAACGACGACTGTAACACATATACTGCAAATAAGTGATTGTTAAGTACTCTACAAATTCCAAATTTTCATTTTATCACCTAAATGTGTCCAGAATCATAGTAAATAGTACAAACTTCCCCAGTAATGGAACCACAAGTGATGTTGGAGGAATGATTTCAGCCAGTAGTAGGAAGAACACAGTTAACGATAACAGAATCGAGATGGAAAGGCTCACCTAAAATGTTTCAGAGGTTTGTAAATACAGCGTGATATAAATATGGTTTTATAGTATTACTTTACATAGGGTGTTGAAATTGTACTTGTTGTAGATGTGGTAGAAACAGATCTTGAGCTCTATAGACAAAAAATAATTTTGGTATATATGGATAGGTATTTTATTTTACATCAAATGTCGCTCATTAAAAATTTTTCAGACCATTCCACAAAGCTATTCTACTATGCTAAAGGTCAAGTTCGATCACCAGATCAGTGACGTAGTAATCTACAGCACCCTGCATATCGGATGTAGTTACCGCTATAAAAATATCGCTTTCTTCAATTAATAGATATCATAAATTTAAACAAAACGATGTGAAAGTATATTCAACTAAATTGATCCTATTAAAGTTTAATACTAAAAGATTCCAAGGTCTCTTCTGTTTTATCCATATTTTACCTTTTTTTTGCTTCGTTGTCGAATTAAAATTTATTTCGTGATACCTTTCCTTTATCTTACCTTCTCACCACTATCAGATGGCAAGTAGAACACAAGAACGGTGAGAAATGAAATTCCCATGCAGGGTATTATCAGGTTCACGGTATAGAATAAAGTCTTTCTTCGCATCGTGATGTTGAACGTTATATCGAGATAAGGTTCATCACAACAGGTGTAGAACTTTTCGTTCCTGAAAGCGGTAAAGGTTTCTAGAAATGAAATAATAAAGTCTATATTGAGGAAAACGTAGAACACGTCCTCAGGCCTAGGCTGCTAGACTGGATAGTGAGATAGCAGTCATTTCAGCAGTCGTCGTAACTAAATTACGGGCTCGCCGAGACAAACAACCATTCAGCGTTCAGCGTTCAAGCCGCGTTCGTCATGTAAATTCCTCTTACGTGTTCTGACACAGACAGGAGGCAGTCAGGAACACCGCGTCCCATTTTACGAAGATTACTTGTAGGTGAAACATGTATTTTGATAGTTCGTCTTCAGAAGACGAAGCATTGCTTTAGAAGAGTTTGGAAGAGTCTAATGAGAAAAAAAGATACTGAGTGCAAGCGATCAATTGTGAGAGAAATAATAAAGGAGAGTTTAGTGTTCTTTTTCATGCACTGCATTTTTTATTAACGTCCGAATGTCATTGAGTAGCCTTACTGAATTACATGATTATATAAAGAAGGAAATAGAGAAACAAGACACCAACTGGAAAAAGGCTATATCTACAAAAGAAAGATTGGGAGCACTTTTACTAAATACATTAATTTTTCTATGGAAGCCATCTTCCGAACGAGGCGTTGCACGTTGTATTCTGACAATAGAACGCAAGAACTGCGTTCACACTGGCTAGCGCGGTCTAACCGCCGCTGTGTCTGCGCGACGCTATGGAGATATATTACTTACAAAGAACGTAGAACGCAGAACGCGGAATTCGGAACGCTTTCTGTCTGTGCGAGCCATAGTACGTCAACAACTATCAGCAATATATAGAGTGATTGGTACATAAACTAAAAAATTTGTTGAGTAACTGACGACTGAATTTGCTGATTTTCACTGAAAACTGTAATGTTCTTCTACTGAATCCCCTGAATGTCCCTCGGACCACAACTGGGATGACCTGCTTGAATACCTCGCCGTCAAGATCGACTTCCTGAACATCAATCACCCCGCTTCAGAGGTAGCTCCTCTCGGTGATTTCAATGCCCATAAAGAGCTTTGGTTGCGCACATACAAGACCGATGCAGCAGGTCGTGCAGCGGAAGCGTTCGCTCTTACTCAACGGCTGACCCAGCTGATAACGAGCCCTACTTTTTACCCCGCGTCTCGTCACACTCCAGTAGCTTGGTGGATCTCTTCCTGACCATGCATCCTGCCCCTTACAGTACTGCTGTCCTGGCCCCCCTGGGTAACTCAGACCACGGTGTTGTGGAGGTTAGGTTTCGGTCAGAACCCGCTGTGGCATCAGAAACTAGTACAGGCCGCAGAACTTGGCATTACGGACATACCGACTGGGAGGGGCTCAGATAATTCTTCTCTAGCTTTCCTTGGAGAGATGTCTGTTTCACTGACGTGGATGCGTCGGCTGTCTGTTCTTCGATAACCGAAATTATCCACGTCGGAATGGAGGAATACATTCCTCACACAGTGAAAGTGCTTAAACCAGGGTCCAACGGCTGGTTCAACAAATCGTGTGACACTGCTTGCCAGCAGAAGATCAAGGCACGCAGAACCTTTATACAAAACCCCACCGTAGAGAACAGTCAAGCCGACGTCGAGCCCAGAAACAAATATAACGAAGCGGTTCGCAATGCCAAAAACCAGCACGATATAAAAGTTAGGCACAGTGTAATATCGCAGCGCCATGGCAGTCGGTCTTTCTGGACGTTGGCCAAGTAGATTGAACAGAATTTTTCACACAGTAGCCTTTCACCACTTACGAGTCAGGATCAATCGATTGTATTCGGCTCCACCATGGTTGTCCCCCTTAACGCTCAAGTGCCGTCAATTCAAAGGGTTCCCTACACTATGCGGGAGGTAACATCCAGGCATAAGACCGTAATACGAGTGCTCTTGTCGCTCGACATCTACAAAGCTTCTGGATCGGATTGGATTCCTGCCATTGTACTGAAGAGGTGTACAGCGGAGCTTGCTCCAGCTCTTTCGCGTCTCTTCCAGATATCTTATGAATCCGGCACCTTCCCAGAAAAGTGGAAATTTGCTCATGTCCAACCCATCCCAGAAATCTAAGACCGACCCTTACAACTACAGGCCTATAGCTCTGCTTTCTGTTATAAGTAAGGTGATGGAGGGGTGCATAAATCACGAGCTTCTGGACAACATCGAACGTCACAGCTTGATTAGCGACAGGCAGTATGGTTTCCGGCACCAACGATCCACAGGGGCCCTCCTAGCTTACGTCACGCAATTGTGGAGTAAACTCATCCAGTCTTATGGTGAGGCTCATGTCGTTGCTCTCGACATCACAAAAGCGTTCGATCAGGTGTGGCTCGCTGCCCTCTTAAGCAAACTTCCATCCTATGGCCTCCCAGAAAAGCTTTAGATATCCGTCCGTGACGGGTTCTCCTCTGCATCCCACAATGTCAACGCGGGTGTTCAGCAGGGACATATCAACGACCTCCTTTCCTGCACGGTCAACCCAATCCATAGCTTCGCTGATGATAGCACTCTACATGCATGAATTCAGAGTGACAAGCTGATCTCTGCCGCTGAGCTGGAAAAAAGAAGACTAGCGACGACTGCCTCTCTGACAAGAGACCTGGAGGCTATCACTGCTTGGGGACGCAACAATCTTGTACAGTTCAATGCTTCCAAAACACAATACTGTACTTTGACGAACAAAAAGCGTCCTAGTGCTCACCCGGTTTCGATGGATGGCCGAGTTCTGCCAAAAAGTCATTCTTTTCGGCTGGTCGGAGTCCAGATCACCGAGGACCTGATCTGGCACGAACACATTTCGTCAATAGCTGCAGCTGCTGGGAAAAAGCTAGGCTATTTGTTTAGGGCTAAGGAGTACTTTTCTCCGCATGATCTTCTCACTCTATACAAGGTCCAGATAAGGCCTAGCCTCGAATACTGCTCACACGTTTGGGGTGCTGCCGCCCTGACTACATTATCCATGCTCGATTCTGTCCAGAGGAGGGCGGTCCGACTGATCGATGACTCTTCTCTAACAGACAGTCTCGGGACTCTTTCGCACCGGCGGACCGTCGGCGATCTAGCTCTTTTCTATCGCTTCAATAACGGGCTTTGCTCCTCAGAGCTCTCTTCCATGCTGCCGCCGCGCAATGTGCCTGCCAGACAGACTCGCCTGACTTTGGCGTCCCATCCTAACCGTGTCGAACTTTGTACATCCAGAACTGGCCGATACGACCGCTCCTTACCGAGGGTGTCGAGATTGTGGAACAATCTACAAGAGGAAGTTTTTCCCAGTTCTACTAACCTTAGGCAGTTCAAAAATCATATTAACAAAATTTCTTTGGGATCATCATAGCAGCCGCGGTGTTTCGGCATTTAGGCTTTGGCCTGCGCGGCTGCTCCGATAAATAAAAAAAAAGTTATATTATTTTTGCTTGTCGAGATAGTATCACAAAATAAACGTGGTTCGTTTCTGTAATGCATGCGTAATCATGACCGGCCTCAAAGAAATGATGACCTTCCAAATTAGGGGTAAATAAAAAAATGGGGTTTATGATTTGATTACAGAAAAACTATACTTTCGTTGGAACTTAAATGAATTCTTAAAAGTTTTGCTGCTTATTACTTTTCCAATAATATATTACACATGATAAACATAATTTGTTATGCGGTCAAAATAAGATAAATTAATTGAATTTCTCAAGTCTTTCACTTTTTTTATTTCATTTAAATCATTTAGGAACTATTTTGAGTGCGTCCACTTGTTGACAATTATGAAGGTAGTCATTACAAAGCAGTTAACATGTAGGCTTAGGAATACCTTTTATGCAAGTTGATTCAAGTTGATACCTGGGTTATTATCCCCTGTTGAGCGAGGCCGTGGCAAATGCTTGTTCCGGAAGTTGTTGTATTGTATTGAATGAATGAATGAATCTTGAATTTTAGAGGCATCCCGGCCACCATAAGGAGCCAGTGCATAGGCCGCTTAAGCGGGCCCTTATGCACCTCTACAATACTTAAATCACAAGCCTCGCCCTTTTAGCGAAGTTGAGAATCGCCTTGAGTCCAAGCTCCTTTACGTCCTGAGGGTCCAAAGTAATGGACCCCAGTATAGTCTGCCTATAGTAGCTAAGAGCTTCACAGCGACACAAAACGTGCGCCGAGGTCTCTTCCTCTACTCCGCAGCGTTCGCATAAGGGATCCTCAGCCACCCCCATCACGTGCAGGTGCCGCCTTAACGTGTTATGGCCAGACAACAGTCCCACCAGCAACCTTAGGTTGGCTCTACCCAGAGATAGGCAGAAGCGTCCATCCTTAGCACTGGGCCCTTCAATGAGCTCTCGTGCCTGGCGGAGATGTCTAGAGATACTTCTCCATTTCTGAGAGTGTTGTCTTGCAACCCACGTCTCCATTTTCCTCCTAGCTTTATGCGCGGTTACTCCTAGAGCTGGCTCAGGACCAACGAGCTTGCTGGCTGATCCTGTTTTCGCCAGAGTGTCCGCCGTCTCATTGCCCCTTATCCCAGCGTGCCCCGGTACCCATATTAACGATACCGGATGCCTCGCTGCGAGGCAATCCAGAGCCTCCCTGCATTACCATTCAAGTGGTTGTACACGTGTTTAGGAATACCTCAGTACCGATTGCCAAGTGGTGCTACAAGTCCTCTATCGGGCCACTTAAGGTCTATTTAATATCATTAACAAGCAAAATGGTGGTGATAGACAAGGAGCGGTCGACCGAGGCGGTCGGAGGCCACAGTGTCAGATTGTACACCGATTAATCGTCATCTTTTCAGTCTGAAGGAGAAAGGGTGAGTTGTGGCTTTTGTCCGCAGCAGTCCTTCGTGCTTCCTATACGTTTCTTTGGAATCAGGACTTAAGGACATTTTGTGGCCTTGTCTCAACTCCAAAACATCCCACAAATGTATTTGCTACTTTTGTCGCTCTCCATCGGACCATAAACGAGACGACCTTCTTGAATGCCTCACTATCAAGATCGACTTCCTGAACATCGATCACCTCACTTCAGAGGTAGTTCTCCTCAGTGATTTCAATGCCCGTAATGAGCTCTGGCTGGACTTAAACAAGATTGATGCTGCAGGTACTGCTGTTCAAGCGTTCACTTTTAGACAAGGGTTGAACCAGCTGGTGACAAGCCCTGCTTTTTTCCCTCGCGTAGTCACACGCCAGTAACCTGCTGACCACGCATCCTGTCTCTTACAGTATTGCTGTCCTTTCTCCCCTGGGTAACTCAGACCACAGAATTGTGATGGCTAGGTTTCAGTCAGAACCAGCTGCGACAGCAGAAACTCGCGGTGTGCAGCGGAGCTTGCTCCAGTTCTTTCGCGTCTCTACCAAATATCTTACGAATCCGGCACCTTCCCAGAAAACTGAAAAATATGCTCATGTCCGACGCATCCCAAAAAAGTGATCTAATAAGGACCGTTACAACTACAGTCCTTTAGCTCTGCTTTCTGTTAAAAGTAAGGTGGATGGAGAGGCGCATAACTCGTGAGCTTCTGGAATACATCGAACGTCACGCTTGATTAGCGACAGGCAGTATGGTTTGTCGTTGCTCTTGATATCACGAAAGCTTTCGATCGGCTGCGGCATGCTGAGTGTTCCCAGGATCGGTCTTAGTCCGGCACTATTCCTCTCACATATCAACGACCTTCTTTCCACAGCATTGCTGATGACATTACTCTACATGCAGGAATTTAGAGTAACAAGCCAATCTTAGCCCAAGAGCTAGAAAAAAAGAAGTCTAACAGCGACTTTCTCTTTGTCGAGAGACCTGGAGGTTATCACTGCTTAGGTTCGCAACAATCTTGTGCTGTGTAATCTTCCAAATCACGGTACTGTCTTGAAAAAGCGTCCTAGCGCTCATCCGGTTTCGAGAGAGTTCTGCCAGACTACCGAGGACTTGATCTGGCACGAGCACATCTCGTCAATAGCGCTAGGTGCTGGAAAAAGGCTATTTGTTTAAGACTAAGTACTATTCTCCGCATGACCTTCTCACTTTGTACCTACAAGGCCAAGGTAAGACCTAGGCTCGAGAATTGCTCACATGTTTGGGATGTTGCCGCCCCTACTACATTATCCATGCTCGGTACTGTTCAGAGGAGGGTTGTTCGCCTGATAGATGACTCTCTCCTAACAGACATTCTCGGGACTCTTTCGCACCGGCGGGCCGTCTGCGATCAAGCTCTCTTCTACCGCTACACCAATGGGCTTTACTCCTCAGAGCTCTCATCCATGATGCCGCCGCAAGATCTGCCTGCCAGACAGAGCCGCCTGACTTCGACCTCCCATCCTACCTGTGTGGAACTTCGCACATCCAGAACTGGTCGATACGACCGCTTCTTGGTTCCTAGGATGTCGAGATTGTGCAGTTCAAAAATCGGATTAACAAATAGCAGCCTCGGCGTCTTGGATTTAGGCTTCTGTCTGCGCGGCTGCTTCGGTGTAAAAAACGTACATATATACATTGTCTAACGTACATGAATGTCCTGATGTGGACAAATGCAATTGTGTATGCGTAGATGATAGTGAACATGACTTAGACAACCCTTCCATCACTGGTTGCATTCTGCCTTTAGATTTGTGATTATCTGAATTATTTAATTAAATTATCGATTATCTGAAAACTTGCCCTTGCACAGGCATTCGCTCCCTAAAGAATTCGCAGTTATCCCCTTTGTGGCCTTTCTAGTAAACCTAAGCATACCTTCTGTAAATGAAGGACTTTATTCTTTGATGAACACCTTCTCCTGTCTCTGACCTGATTGATTTTTCTTAATACAAACTGCCTGATGCGAGCTCTAGACTCACTACAGCATGGCTCTGGACTAATCAGTCCATTTGACTTTGAAGTTGTTTATTTTAATTTTAGCAGATAGTACTTTCTATGACAATATGCATTAATGGTCAAGGTTTATAACACTAAAAAATACATTAGGTTTTAAACACGAAATATATAGGATACCATTAACTTCATATCGATTTGCTTAAAAGACATTCCTAAGACTAACTATTTATTGCTTAGCAATTACAACCCTGGTTAGTCTAATCAAGTGATGGCATTTATTTCGAGAATAGTTTGTAAATGATTCAAATTAAATAAGAACATGAAAAATATGACCACCCAAAAACTTATTTATGCGATGTGTACGTATATATGTAATAAATTACATAACCTTTATAAATAAGGCTAAGTTCCATAGCAGTTATAGTACTTTTGTAATCGAATTTTAATATTGACTCAACACAATTTTACAACTTTGGACATTTTTTGAGACCGTTTGCACAAGCAAGTCATTTGCTCTGATAGTAACGATAACAGTAGCCCTTAAAGCATTCCAGCTTTCAGCACTTTTGCGGCCTTGTATTTTTACCCAATTTAGATTAGTTGGTACTCTCGATTTGTACATAATAAATCATTTGGCTTTAAGTTAGCGTTTACAAATATACAACTGAGCTCTAAGCTACAATGACTTAGGTCTTCATGATTATATAACCACTAAATGAAACCTCATATATTTAAATAACGTCACCGTGGTGGCCGAAGCGTTAGTGAAAAAGTAACTCAAACGTATGTGGTTTCATTTAGCGGCCAGACAAGCATGGAGTCCAATTAGCATGAAAGCTATAGGATTAGTTTTCAGGTATTCAGTGATCCATTGTAGTTATTTCAGTGGCTTGAACTGGTAAGACTTTGTATAAAAATCAGTAAACTTAATCACCTGATTGCTGGTACCTCCAGTATATCCCATTCAACAGAAGTATAAAATTCTGTTAAATCGACTCCAATATCTACAACTGCTGAGTGTTTCACCTCGTCCAAGTGTCGCAGATCAACCTGAAATTCGAATACAAAAGTATTGAAGTAGTGAAAAGTAGTCATAAACAACTAATTTAATTATCAATACATTCAACACAGAAAATGGAATGTTTAAGTTTTTGGCTACGGCCTTAGAAATAGAAATTTGAAAAATGATGAATAGCAAAGTCTGAAACTTCACCAAAATGTTAATCCGCCTGTCTCAGAAAGTTGTACAGATACGAAGTTTGGAAACGATCTTAAAACTTCTTTATTTTTGCTCACAGTTCCACCGCTACTGCACCAATTTTAAAAATAAAATAGCATAGTGCTGCCGAAATATCACAAGATCAGATGAGCCATTTTGGAGTTTACGAGGGTACAAGCACCCCAAGAGAAAGGTAGACAGGCCAACAGATAGATAGACAAATCGTCATATTTATATAATGTACACATATCTGAAATTCGAAAATTTGTTCACTCTCAATACATTGAAGGAAGACAATGTTTCGACAACCTTTTCAAATAACTCAAAGTTATGAAGGAACGTACTATGTTGGTAATCAGTCAATTCTTATCAAACTAGCAGATTCATCAAAGTGTACCTGGTATCCATCGTAGGTCCAAGAGCCGAATTTCATCTTACATGTTTGTTCATCAAACGGGAAGTATTCAACATCTATCTCACAGGAAGACTTGTATATAGCAGGTGGCTTCCAATCCACACGACCTGTGTAGTTTAAGGTGGCTTTTGTCGCCAAAGTTACTTCAAAGTTGCCATCAGCACTGGAAATTATCATAAATCGTTATTCTAGAATAACAGTACCATTAGTAAACAAATATATGAATATATTTTCATTAGAAGAACCGAAAACCTCGCAAGAGGCTGCCTGGTGGAACTTGGAACATTTTTTATATGAAGATTCTGGACAAGGAAATGTTTCTGTAAAGTCGGCCGTTTTCGAGTTATAAACGATATAAAGTCTAAAAATAAATACAAATGGCGGATTGCAATGCTTAAAAACAAAAGCGATTTTAAAATGCTTGAGGATTTTGCTTCGAAAATGGAAATTATTGTAGAGGACAACTTAGACCTGAATCTTCTGAGCGACGAAGCTCATCTTCACTTAGATGGAACTGTTAATACACAGAATATTAGGTACTGGGCTCCTGAAAATCAACGAAAGATCCATGAGCGACCTCTACATTCTGAAAGAGTCACAGTATGGTGTGCCATCGGTTCAACAGGCATCGTTGGTCTACTTTTTTTTAGAGAGGCTGGACGCACCGCCAACGTTAATTCTGATCGCTACGTTCAGTAAGAACCGGTTGGTGCCAGAACTACGCAGAAAAGGGATAAATCCCAGGAATGAATGGTTTCAGCAAGATGGTCCCACGGCACACACCGCCAATGCTTCAATGCATTTTGTCCGCAACCTTTTGCCCGGGAAAACTCATTTCACGTTTCGGAGAAGTGCCGTGGCCTCCAGGGTCTCCAGACCTGTCAATTTGTGACATTTTTGTGTGATTGTTTTTAAAGAGCGTGTATATACTCACAAACCCCGAATTGAAGAACGCATAATTCGTCAAGAAATCCTGCCTATTGATCAAGCGATGTTAGAGCATGTTATGGAGAATTTCAAAACGAGAATGAAAAACTGCTTCCATCTTGATGGCCACCATCTTCATCACATTATTTTTCGTACTTAGTACACATTGTAAATGACATAGTGTAAGCTTCATTTTGATGTGACTAAAACCTTATCTCGTCAATTTGTTCTGTAATATTTATTTAAAAATCGTCCGGTTGTTAGTTGTCACTCTGTATTATTAATACTATATATGGGGTTGCAAAAGTGTCATTAAAGCTCGAACCCTCTCCGAGTATGTTGGTCTTTGTTTATTTTTATTAAGTACTAGTATTGTTGTTTAACTATTGATAAAGCACGATAGGTCACGTTGTACGCACTAGCACGCGGAATATTCTGTTTTTAAGTCATGTGCGTATTGAAGGTTTCGCTGCAGTAATTCCAAAAAAAGATGGCACATTGCTTATAATAATTCACGGTCAAATTGGATGAAATTTCAGAATGTTGTTTTCCAGATCACTGTGTCGATAGGACTATGGTTCTAATATTAACCGTTCTCCGAGTGACAAGATGTTTAGGCTTGATAAATTTTGAAAAGATACGAACTTACGACAAACACCAACATGACTTTAATATTTCTTTGATCATTGATTAAAAGCTCAGTAGCTTCTACCTACAATGACGATCCACTGCACATCTGATGATTCTCTAAAACATTTTTTATCCCATTATGATCAGAAATCAATATGCAGAAGGTTCGAATATCATATGATATTCCGAGTTGCAGGATGCGCAAGTCGTCGAAATATTGATGGAAAATATACTTAATGACATAGAAAATGCAATACCAGCTAGGAGTGCTGTAATTTTGAGCATACTTTTACGAGTTTTAGGTCTACTGATAAATAGAAAGTGATTAAGATTGTTACTTGAAACTTAGCAAAACGGCTGAGATGTCCCACCTTAATGTTAATAGTGTGTTGAACCTCCTCTGTCCGCTACACATTCGTTAAGTCGTGCCGGCATTGACTGGATAAGGCGATTGATGTCTTCTTGGTGTATTGTATGCCAGTCCATCAGAATTTGGTTTCATAGAGCCTACAATGTTTGTGGAGGGTGCGGCAAATTTTGTAACCTTCTTCCCATCATGTGCATACATGTTCGATTGGGGAAAGGAGGAGACCACTGAAGCAGATTTACTCCGGACACTTCTAAAAAGTCTAAACTAACACGTGCGACATGAGGTCGTGCATTGTCCTGCTGAAAAAGTGAATCTTGCAATCTTTCCAAAAAGGGAAGCAGATGTGGTTGCAAAACTTCGTGGATATAGCGCTGGGCAGTCATGCTGACTTGAATGAACACTAATCGTGACCTGCTGCCGTAAGCAATTATTCCCAAACCATAACACCCACAGTGCGATGAATATGTCGTTCGATGGAATATTGGACTTTCACCACGTCTCCTCCTTACTCTCACACAGCCATCATGTGTGCCCAAACAGAATCTGGACTCATCGCTTAACACGACTGAGTTCCATTCCCTATTCCATTCAATTCTCTCCCTACTCCATACCAGTCGTTGCCAACGATGCTGTGGGGTCAGAGGTATTACAAGATGGGGACGGTATGAAAACAGTCCAAAAGACCTTATTCGGCGTTAAACTGTTGCCATTGTTATTGGCCTTCCGACAGCATCAAACCACTGCTTCGCAACTGCCCTTGTTGTGGAAAATCGATCTCTCAGATCTAGTTGCCTCAAATCACGATCCTGTCGCTCTATAGTCTGACTGTGATGTCCAGTACCTCTAAGTCGTCGATTTCGGCCTTCTTTTAACCACGCTTGGCAATAACTCATTACAGTAGCTCCGTTTTGATTCACCCGATTGCGATTTCTCTAAAAGAAAATCCGGCTTCACGTAACCCGATTAAACTTGAGTGAAATAGCGCGTCTCGAACTCTAAGCATGATAATGCAATGAAACGACAATGAAACAAATGGAACCAACCATGTTCATATTGTTCGGATCCTGATATGACAAAAAAGCATTTACAAAAAAAAGTACGACTCGGAATGCCTTCAGCATTTCATCAGCGTATACTTCCATGATAGCAAATATGTTTACAGGTTTTTATCAAAATTCAATAAATAATTCTGGGTGTTGCATTCTATATCTCACTTAGTATATTTAGATCCCAGTCAGACTGGCTGGAATTTTGGTATTTTATTCTCCATAAACTTTTCACCAAGTCTTCATGGGCAGAAGGCTCTGATATCAATAATACGATGAGCAAGCGTAGCAAATCCAAGAAAATTATTTCACAAAAAAAACGCCAGAGTGAACCTATGGTCTCGTCGGGCATTGATTAGAAAAGTCATAAATAGCCACTTTACTGCTGCTTTGATGCATCTACTGGATGCTACTTTAAGTCGTATTTTGATGGAGATGGAAAGCCAAAATTGCTGCTAAATACAGTCTAATATCCAGTAGATGGATCAAGGCAGCAATGAAATAGCTATTTATGATTTTTCCTAAATGACCAAAGAGACCATAGGGTCACGCTAACTTTAACCGCAAAATCATTTTTTTAAATTTGCTGCACTTGTCCACTCTGGAAATCATTAAAAGTTCCAGAATTTAAGAAAGCTGATACAGACGATAAGTATTCTAAGTCTATAATTTCAATATTTACCAAATCAACAATACTTTTTTATTATTATTATTATTATTATTTACGGCCTTATATCATGGTACCAGGATGTTCAAAGCCGGCGAACAAAAAAGAGGTCAGAGTGTGCAAATTAGGACTCAGATATATAATGGGTGATTTTTTGCTAGTATCTTTTTGGCAACACTGTTTTTGACAGACGACGCGTGAATCGTGTCTTGTGTCATTGTCAAACTTGTTCTATAATTTAACCATGAATCGACTTACGAACGAACAACGCTTGCAAATTATTGAATTTTACTATCAAAATTCATGCTCGGTTAAGAGAGTGCATCGAGCACTGCTTCCAATTTATGGGCAATTTGGTCGGCCTACTGAGGGAGCTATTCGGAAGCTTGTGACTAAATTTCGAACCCAGTTTACATTATTGGACATTAAACCACCAACACGCAGACGTAGAGTGAGGACTAAAGAAAATATTGCGGCTGTATCCGTCAGTGTTAGTGATGACCGTGAAATGTCGATTCGCCGCCGTTCGCAGCAGTTGGGCCTCTGTTACTCCACTACGTGGAAAATTTAGCGACAGGATTTGGGTGTAAAACCTTATAAGATACAGCTGGTGCAAGAATTGAAGCCACACGACCTCCCACAACGTTTCCAATTTGGTGAATGGGCGCTGGCAAAGTTGTAGAAAGATCCACATTTTTATCGAAAAATTGTATCCAGCGACGAAGCTCATTTCTGGTTGAATAGGTACGTTAACAAGCAAAATTGACGCATCTGGAGTGAAGACCAACCAGAAGTATTGCAAGAGCTACCAATGCATCCCGAAAAAATCACTGTTTGGTGTGGATTATGGGCCGGTGGCATCATGGGGCCGTACTTCTTCAAAGACGACAATGGCCGGAACGTAACTGTGAATGGTGAGCGCTACCGTGCGATGATAACAAACTTTTTTTTGCAAAAAATGGAAGAGCTGGACTTGGCTGACATGTAGTTTCAACAAGACGGTGCCACATGCCACACCGCACACGAAACAATGGCCCTATTGAGAGGCGAGTTCGGTGAACAGTTTATCTCACGTTAGGGGCCCGTCAATTGGCCGCCTAGATCGTGTGATTTAACGCCGTTGGACTATTTCTTATGGGGCCATGTTAAGGCTAATGTCTACAGGGATAAACCAGCAACGATTGACGCACTGGAAGCCAATATTGAAGCATTTATTCGTGAGATACCGGCCGATATGTTGGAGAGAGTGTGACAAAATTGGACCTTGCGCATGTGCCATCTAAAGCGGAGCCGCGGCCAACATTTACATGAAATAATATTTAAACATCAAATTATATCGACCGTTCTATCGACTCAAATAAAGATTTAATCGTTTTTTCAAATTTTTTGTGTTTTTTTTTGAAAATCAAATCCTATACCTCTTAAAAAATCACCTGTTACATGATACATATACAGAGTCTATTTACCCAGATTGCGTGAGAAGTGTCATAAAGAACATTTCATCTCCAAGACACGTTTTCTTATGCCCTATACCTTAACCGTGTCTACATATTATTATGGTTTTAGACGACAATGTATACATTCTCTATATTCCTAGATTCAATGATATTATTGTTACCTTTTTTCAAGCAACGTGGCAGAGTATCTTCATATGACAAAATTGTGAATCCACTTTTCCGCCATTTATTAAGGCAAACGAATCAGCTTTCCAAATTTCAGCATATTAATTAGATTAAAGAGAACAAATTCGATAATTGATACGACTCTGATCACTTTACTCACTTGTTGTACAATACAATATCTGGCCTCCAAATATGATCTGAAGGAACATGCAACATCTCAACACCTCCATATTCTTTAGGATTCCATGTAAGCTTGTAATCATACCATGTCTAAAAACACACTAACTGAAGATAGCTCCATATTTACATCAAAAAGAAACGTACCTGTTCCACCCATAAGTTCGTTGTCATAATCTGATTCTTGAGGTTCTGGAATATAATTTATGAATAATATTATCAAATCGTATTTAGAATGGTAAGTCACATGATTCAACAATTAGACATGGAGTCGTTTGAGAAATAGAATTATTAATATACAAATATCTTGATGAAATAACTTCTTTCAAATGCATATGAAAAAAAAATAAATTTACATTTACATAATTGAACTGAAACTATTTATTGAAAGATTAAATTATTTCATTCCAGATATCTATGATTTCAAAACATAGTCAACCTCAAGAGAATTTGTGCTCCTCGGTGGACTGTTTATAAACCTTCTCGGGTGACGTCAAGTATACTTAATCTTCTTGGATCAGTTATTCATTCAAAGTTATAGTATAAGTTTTTCTTCAGTATAAATAGTAGAACAAAAGTTGCCGCGTATGCCATGAAATGGGTCACACGATTTGTACCAATTCACGGAGAAAACGTACAGCAGTTCGAAGTAGTTTGATTCCCTGGAGGGTCCTTGCAAGAAGCTCTCATGATAATATTTAGGGTTGAAAGTGATATACAACTTGGAAATGAATAAACTATAATTTAGTAGTAGTAGTTTTAAAATCATATTTAATGTTGTTATTGCACTTTTCTTAGTGAATCGCGTGTGTCATTTTATTTCTAGTTTAAGTAATACGTATATTATTTATATAAGCTCATGCATATCCTTCTTCGGCACGGGTATTACGTATCTTGTAAAGTGACAATGTCGATTTTTTTTGACATTGTATTGGTTTTTTGTAACGTTATGTAGGTTGTTCTACAAGATGTTAACTTAGCACTAGATGATGGACACGTGAACTCGTTTTGTAGTTGTACGTCATGCGTAAACGTCATGATGCTTCAGTTATCAATGTTTCGCTCTGATGTGAAGTAAAATCTGCTTCAGACGTGGCATTACTGGAGCTGCAAGCTGTAAGTTGTATACTATAGCTAGAAGGAAACGGTAATACATAGGTGCATAGTAAGGATTTGTGTGCTAATAATATGTGTTGATGATAATTACACTGGATTTTTGACTCAAATACACTTACTTGAGATTCAAAGCTAGAAATTAATTGGGCATCCGCTTTTTCTTGTCCATTCTGGAAATAACAAATGCAAATTTGCTGAATTTAAAAAATGTGAGAGATAAGAAATAATTAGGTATATTCACTGTACACTGTCGAATTACAAGTCATATACATGCTAACAGTAATTACACACAGCGTGAGCGCGGTGGTGATTTCCCGTAGTTATCCTAAAACCTTTGAAAACACAAAAAAGGAAAAAATCGTAATTTATAACTTATTTAATTTAATAATATATTATTTGATTTATAACCTGTCTCCAGAAAGGACAACATATAAATAACCCGTCGGGCACAGCTACTAGATATAAGTACTTCATTGGCAGCATATTCAACAATGAATTTCTCCCAGCAAATATCACTGATTTTATGCACATGCAGACCAATACATCTCAGATGCGATATTGCTATTCAACCAAATTTCTTCTCAGAGATGAAAACTCGGCTTCACAAAACATATGCAGCCAACAATGCGTGTAGTTGAGCCATACTTCCATAGATGGACGCTCACACCAATCCTAGTGGGCAACTGTACACCCTAAAAGCTACCTAGTCTGCAAGATGACACTTTATAGATTTTTACATAATACCCGTGCCGGTTTTCTCCCACGTTTATTGTTTTAAAATACGTTCTTTCTAATTATATTTTTTTATTTTGGACAATAAACATAATTATTAAATAAACTGTTTAATAAATTTAATTAAATGACTGCGTTTTGATTTAGTAGAACCAGTTCTATAGATTCAAGTGAACTTTTTTGAAAACCGAATTTAGTTGAACTAACTGAACTTGTTAGCTCTGAAATAGTTAACTGCGTTATCAAATTGGCCTAATTAAAATTTGATTTGGCTTAATCCTTCTTTTCTCAGTGCACCAGCAATTTTTCAACACACCTGAGACAATCATAAAAATTTGCTCGTCTGTTTCGGTTGCATTAACTTTAATACTGTACAAAAATGTCAAAAACAATGAAAATTAGTGCTGTCTGTAGATAAATATTTCGACAAAGTTACCTATCAAAATACTGACAAAAATTCTAAGGTCTATCATACAGGCGAGTATACCAAAATGCAAGATCCAAAATGGCTGTTATACAGGGTGACTTTGAAGTTGAGTCATTAATTTTCAGATAATGATTGTAGAAGGAAGATAAACCAAAATATGTGTGTAAAAATAGAAAAAAAAATTAAAAAAAAAATTTACATTTCTTTATAAAGTGTCCTTCCGACAAGTATTTCAGTGCGGACCTGTATTTGATCGTGAGGTCCCCTGTGAGGTCTTAAGTCACCTGATTCACGAGCCCGTTGTACTACATTAACAAAGGCACGAGGGGTTGGTTGCACTCGATTGGGAAACCGATCCGCATAAACATGTGCCATTTTTTATTTCGTTTGAGCCACGCAACAGACACTATTCACACGCGTTACCGATTGACACTGACTGTATGTATAACTGAACTGAATAAAATAATTGTAAAAACATCGTTCCAAATTCTTTCGCTTTTTTGTTTCCGATGCGATGAACCGATAAGGCGGATTATATCCGTTGTTGCCAAACACGAGCACATAATATTATTATTGAGACAGGGCGGTACTCAAACTTCCAAAGGGCTATAACTTTGTTACTTTAATTTTACCAGAAAAATGGTACAGGAAAAAAACATTTCTTTTGATCAGATCTACTCACTGTTAAAATAAATGACTCAACTTCGAAGTACATTGTACATTGTACACGTAACAATAAGTTGTGTTGTGTTGTGTAAGTTTTCAACTTTAAAATGTATATCGACCGGGCTATATGGGCATATGGGCAGTCATGTCGGCCGATTCATATATATCAGCAAATTGGGCCGATATATTGCCGATATACAGTAGTATCGGTGTTCACTGTCTTATTGTTTAGCAGTGGACATGGTTTTAGGTGAATGAACAGGTCATTGTGAAAAAAAAATATGAGTGTTCAAGGTATGAATGGGATATCACTAGAACGGGAACGATTGGATTTACAATGTTGGTTAACCGTTTAAACGAGGAAAAAATAGTGTTATTTGCTCTTTAATACGACCAAATCCTGACTGTGCGCCTAAGCTCGGGTACCGAAAAGTAAGATAGCAGTAAAACACAGCATGCCACTGCGACCGCAGCATCTCTTTAAATACGGTGTGGTTCGCGCGCACTGACTTTCTAAATTCTAAGTCACTTTGCACCAGCAGTAGCCTGTGACGTGTTTGAATAAGAAATTGTTGTATTAGAGAGCAAGAAGAACTTCATCACGGTTAAAAACTTTCTAAGAACATAAACTTACAACATCAATTAACTGCGATAGTTTAAGTTTGATCTTGACGGTGAGTGCATCTGTTATGTTGACAACCGGCCGCACCAGTTTGTTGTAATTAGAAAGAAGATCATCATAAAGCCTCTTGGCATCTGGATTACAGTAACAACCTGAAAACAGAAAATTACATTCAATACAATTATTATCAGCAACAACCGTTAAATATCTCATTTTAACACAGTGGTAAACTACTTACTAAATACTGAGTTTATAAAATAAACTTTCATTACGTGTACATTTTTCGTAGCACAAAAGATCACCTGTTGCTCAATTTATCCAGAAAAAAATGATATTTTGACCAGTACTGTGGATGGATGTATTATTTCCAACTATAACAAATATTACACTAGTACACATGCTGATTATACTTGATACCGTTATACTTAGTGACAACGTAAACATAGAACACCCAATAAAAATGCTTTCATCTGAATGTAGTTTACTTCCCACGCCTAATTGCTAGGATGTATTGCAATCAATGTTTTTGGATGTTATATAAGATGTACATCACGAAAAAGCGTGTAACTTATTTCCGTCGGTCTGTCTGTCTGTCGGTCTGTCCATTAATCTTATATTATAACGGCCTATAACTTGAGAAGTACCGCTCGGATTTCGATGATATTTTTACGCAATGTTACTACTATGCCAAGGACGCAAAAGCTCAGTAGTTTTTGAAAATTGGTCCAGTAAGCGCAGAGAAAAAACCTGAAACTAAAAATAAAAATCACTCAAATTTCTGTTTTTGACGTATCGGATGATCATGACCATTTTTTAAAGGAACTTTAGTGGTCAAAAACTTGGTGGTAGGGATTGTAAGTGGTGGGTAGGCTTTCTCTATATTTCTTGATGCTGGTGCATTTATACTCTCCCAACATTGGTAATTCTATACACCTGTTAGACATATTTCACACATCATAGATTTCTCTATACATTAGCCCTGAAAACAGAATAGTATTCTCGGGAGACGAATCGCGGACCTATCGGCCGCCGCTGCTGCTGGCGTTGTGCGTCGACCATGAGGGCTGTTCTGATATAGGAACACACGAATTTCTGCCGCAGCTACCACCGTGCCATGTCTGTCCGCGTTAGGTATCGGGGAGAGGCGACGTTTCCAAATGCGCTACCAGGAGGGCAGGGAAAGAATATCTATGGACTAATTGTACGGACCTATTTGACTGATTTTTTCTCGGAGGGTCTAGTATGTGCTAAATATATTCCTTTATCTACTGATAAACACGTTGCGTGAGCAGTGTAGAGTCAACCTACTTGACACCATTTGTTTGTACCTAGTTAGACTTAAGTAAGATGAAGTTGGGCTTCTGATGAGGTGATTTGTGTCTTAAGGTACCCAAGCTAGCTGCACTTGATTCCGAAAAGCTGCTAACACTGGTTGATGATGAAGTAAATAGGTCGCTCTTGTTTATATCACGTCCCAAAACTGTTAAGTTGTCGAATACTGTACCTCTAGCAATATGGGCTATTATCTTAATCATACTGCTTTCGTCCATCCGACCAACCAGAGCGCCAACCGTGTACAGCTGTGTCATGCTTAATGGCAATCATCAGCATGGTTTAAGCAGGTCTCTAGGACGAACAGTGAATGAAGCAGAGCAAAGTATCATCTATCAGAAGTATAAAAATCGACCACTGCCAGAGTGAATAGCAGCTGTCTGGCGGAGCTCAGCTGAGTCCTGGTCGTGACCGCCTGATACCTTCGATTCTGACGATATAGTATATGTGGTCTACTTGCCATTGAAAACTTATAATAACGTTTGTTCTAAAAGTGTTGGCACAAAACTCATTGGCTTTAATTTCAACAAACACAAAATAATATCAAGTTGCCTTTGGAAACAAAAGTTTGTTTACTTACTTTACTGTCAGTTGACATTTATTTATTTAGAAGTTTTCGTTTTAAGTTGATTGGGCGGATACCCAAAGCTGAAATCTGTCGAATATCCCAGAATGAAAACATTTCACAAAGAACCATCTATCAAACAATAGCGGAGTGCAAGCAGGGAATACCATGTCTGAATCTCCCAAAAAGAGGGAGACCACTTGCATTTACTGCACAGAGGTCAGAGAGATTGGTGAGAAGAGCAAAAAATCAGGTTGGAATGTCAACAAGGAGACTGGCCTGTCAATACAGATCTTCTAAGAATACGATATCGTTGAAATTGAAGAGGAACGGTCTTAAATATCGAAGGAGACTTAAATGCCCCAAAATTCCCTCAAGCGCAACTCTTTCGTATACCAAGATGCTGTCGTCAACTGACAACACACACAACAATTAAGACGGCGAATTTACAAAAAACTGAGATAAATTCATCTGAAATCCGTCCAGGACATCATGAGAGACATTCGAAGAAAGTTGCGTCTGGTAGATCAGAATAGGTCGCTCCATATAATTCGATAGTATAGTTTAGTTAAGTATTGAGTTGTAAGTTATGATAACTAGTTAGTGTTTAAATAAACTTCTTCATTAAAAAAAATCCGATTTGTGAAACAACCTTTAGGACATACGTTTTCCTATTTTTGTCCGTCCGAACAAACAGAACGTTATGTATACCTATTTCATCCTCTATTGACAATCATCTCTTTCTAGAAGGGGTGACGAATAAAAGCAGAGCTATATCGCCAGAATTGACGGTATCAAGCGGCCAAGTGAGGACTCTTCTTTCGATGCGGACTGATATAGTTTACAGCTGCTATTCTCTCTCCCAGTGGTCCATTCTGGTAATAGATGGCACTTTTGCCGTCGTATTTGGAAACGGTCATTATCTTGTTGGAAAATAGAGTTCTTCAGTATTTGAAGATTTGGTAAACGATTAGGCTCTAGTACTTCCGGGGTGTACTATTGCACCATTGTGACTCCTGGGTTTACCATTGCACCATTGTGGCTCCTCTAATCGAAACCAGAGGTGACGTAGCACCATATGTAGTGACACCTCAGAGCGCGACTCCTTCAGTATGGTCAAATTGAAATCTTTACATCATGTCTTTATCTGAGACGAGCTCCTGACTCATATGTCACGATCATGCATCCCTAAAGTAGAACTGTGATTGAGAAAATTGGGATGTCTTAAAGATCGTGCTAGGTCGCTTCTAGTTGCCATTAGAGAAGTATGATGGCTAAACGGTATATCGAGGAAATACAGCAATCGAATTTCATACCATTCCTCCAAAGGCTTGATAACCCCATTCTAGCAAGGTGAAGCCTATTCCACATGTTGCTATTAGAGCCACGATAGACTACCTCAATAACGCCTAAGTCGGCATCATTTGAACCTGTGTGAGATACCTCATGAAAACATAAATCACCTCATCAAAATCATGCTTCGATGGCTAGACGGCGTTGGGGTGGTCCGGCACATTTTTATTAAATTCAGCGATACAGTAAATGTTCTCATTACAGAATTTAGCCATTACTTCTTTTTGCTCATGTCTAACTGAATACAAAATGTTATTCAAATAAAATGATTTTCCCTGGGTGTTCTATTTTCTTTGCCACTGAGTCTGTTTATGAGCAATGATGTTGCATTTGACTGGAAATTAATATTTTCACCCTAACTGAAATAGGTATCTATATATTTAAATATATGCCAGACAAAAAAGCTTTTAAGCTTTTAGCAGTACACCAATACGCAAATACTTACCTAAAGAGTTAACCAAAAGCGTGAATGTCACAATAGTAAGCGTCTTCATGCTGCACTTGGTACAGTAAATTGTAGCAATTGTTCAGTGTATCCTTCTTCGTTCCTGGACTCTAATCAAAATTACCATGTTTCTGCCAAGGGGACTGATGATTCGATCTTTCGTAAAAATATCCATTTGATTAGACGATGCCTTTGGACCTTTACCCTCATTCAATGATCAGGATCTAAGAACAACGAGAACGAGAAGGAGATGAGAAGACACAATAACTAAAATTCCCTTGAATTCTAAAAGTTTTATTTCAATAGAAAAATATCTCCCTAAAAGCTAATCGTATTTACCGATAATATAGTACAGACAAAAAGAAACACAACGATGATCTCCTATTTTTTTTTGTAAAATACTGTTACACCTTGGTACAAAATAGCCCTGTATAGACACTGACAGCAGCTGTCCGGTTATTTCAATCCTGATAGCTCATTTGAGGAGCTCGCGTGCAAAACCGGATATATCCACTTTTTACGCAAAATCTTGTTTTGGTGGTTTCTGGGTCTAGGTCGTGATATCTATAGGCCTACATATTCGTTTGCAACCAAACCGTACAAATCCCCTTAAAATCGTTAAGTTAAGGTCGACATTTGGAGCAAAACTGGTTATATCCAAATTTTGCAGGCAAATGTGGATATATATATATATATATATATATAGTCTGTGCGTATTCTGTTGCAATTTATAGTTCGTTACTGACATTGAGTTATGAAAAAGTCGAAACCCATATACCTTTCTGCAACTCTTTCTGTGGCAAAGCTGTATAAAATGTACCATAGGCAATGTAATGCTGAAGATCAAGTAACCTACGATATGTTCAAAAATATATTTTTGAATGATTTTAATGTCGGCTTCTCATCCCCTGCAACAGATGTGTGTTCCAAGTGCACCAGGTTAAAGGAACAAGTAAGACACACAAGCGAACTACATAAAAAACGAAACCTTATTATGCAATACCGAGTCCACAGAAAAAAGGCAAACCCTTTCTATGAACTCGCGAAAGAAGAACATGCATACAACTTCAGTTAATACATCCACTACCCCGTACACCAATCGGGGATGCGTTTTATTCTTATCAAATTAGTTGGTATGTTTTTTGCTGCTTTCCTATGACGTTTCGTAATCCGATATTGTATGTCTGGACCGAAGATTTGGCTAGAAGGGGGGCTACTCAAATTGGTTCATCATCTTTAAAGTTTAAATTATGAAGGAGTACTCGTACATCTTCTCAGAGTATTCTGCGATGGATGTGGAGGGCAGAACAAGAATTCGCATATCATTCACACCCTAATATATTGGCTTAAAAACAAGTCTCCAGATAATTTGACAGATATAATACTAACATTTCCAGTCTGAGAGCATAGCTTTCTATCTGCGGACAGATCATTTGGTAGAGTTGAGAGAATCTTGAGAAGTCATCCAGTCATAACGTCGAAAGAAAACTACAAAGAAATGTCTTCGGAAGTAAGTTCGGTTCGGTTAAAGAACTGGAAAAGGTGTGTAAGAGAATAAATGGAATTTCTGAATGCAAAGAAATCCACTTAAAAAGATTTGTGGATAAAAATAATGAAACTACTATTAAAGTAAAAAAGTTTAAATTTTATAAGTTCACAGCATCAGGTGACACAACTTGGGAGTCACTTGTTAAAGGCCTATTCATACTCAGCCGTGACGTGACAGTGCTGTGACCAGCACGTGATCCGCCTGGCGAAACTAAAAAAATTCTTTCTGGAATTTGCATGAACTGATTCACACTAGCCCGGCCGAGTTCTCAGTGCACTCAACGACGCCGTACCGTGATCATTGCATTGTTTTGGAAGGATGTTTTTCGATTTTCACGACCGTGTTTTTATGTAATTTCGTGAACATTTTGATATAATTTTTCAAAAATATGAATGATGAAAGACTAATTGAATTTGTACGCGTACATCCCGTGCTGTAGAACCAGTCAAATTCAAAATATTGGACTTCCGTTTTCTTCTCGTTTCTTCTTCTTCATCTTTCGTAGGTGGTACACGGTCTCTGACTGTCGAACGTGGAGGTTCCCCTGTGTTTCCTCCTATAGCACCGTGGTACTCCATGGGTGTTTAGGTCTTAGGCCTTCATGGTAGTTAGAGTATAAAGGAAACCCAGAATTAATGCAATAATTGCAAGTTCATCCTCTGAAAATGTTGCCATCTTGACCTCACGTGAACACAGCTGTGATCTCACGTCAGCGAGAATTACTGGCACGTCACAGCACTGTCACGTCACGGCTGAGTGTGGATAGACCTTAAGAAGGGAAACTCAGAAAACATACAGCTAAGTAGGTTACCATTGGGCGTAGATATTTCGGAAAATAATGAAGCCCAAGAAGATGGAGACAAGCTATGCGATTGCCTGTGCGAAGAAACTGCAATACATATTTAATTTTGTTTGTTCTTTTTGCAAAGACTACTTTAACTACTTTGTTTTGTTTATTTAAAGAAAAATAAATATTTTTTTTCGCTCACAGTATGTCATTTTGTGTGCCAAGCCCGATATATCCAATGTTTTTTTGCTAATAACACCATGTTATTTTTTTACAAAAAAAATTACGACTATCAGTTGGTCAACTCCATTAAATCGAAACTGTTTTCTCAAAATGACACAATTTCTTAAAATAAATCGCACCCTTGCTACAAAAGTGACACAACTCAAAATGTGTGAATTTTGAGTTGTTACTATCAATCACATGTGAAAATAATGGTTTACCTTCCAGCAAGAGAGTAATAAATTATCTTTGTCCATTGACCGCCAGATGGCATATGTGTCGTTTTTGCAGATTCCGTTTGTATTAGTGTCTCCGGCTAAACTGAGATATTTTCAGTTGTACCCTGTCTTCAACACAGTAAAGGAGTTACGTGATTGCATTCAAACCGTGTTATTTTGATTTGTGTCGTTTTGATGAGTAGCGGTGAGTATAGTTCTTCTAATATTTTGAATTAAGTCAGTTTAGAGGATAGAAATCTGTAGTAAAATTGGTTTTATATAAAGTTGTGTCACTTTAATTGCTTAAAGTAACACAAATGTTCAAATATAATTTGATTTAGGCCACTTTTGTTGTAATATGCTTTGATTTATGTCACTTTTGTTGTAACAAATTTAACGAAACACTAACGAATTAACTACGTAAGCCTTCCAACTTTTTGAAAATTATAAATCTGTGTGAAGTAGTTTGATATGTATTTCACAGAAAATGTGTAACTTCTTATCCTTACATTAAACTTATACAGGGTGACTTCGAAGTTGAGTCATTTATTTTAACAGTGAGTAGATCTAATCAAAAGAAATGTTTTTTTCCTTTACCATTTTTCTGGTAAAATTAAAGTAACAAAGTTATAGCCCTTTGGAAGTTTGAGTACCGCCCTGACTCAATAATAATATTATGTGCTCGTGTTTGGCGACAACGGATATAATCCGCCGTATCGGTTCATCGCATCGGAAACAAAAAAGCGAAAGAATTTGGAACGATGTTTTTACAATTATTTTATTCATTTGTATACAGTCAGTGTCAGTGAATAGTGGTGTCTGTTGCGTGGCTCAAACGAAATAAAAAATGGCACATGTTTATGCGGATCGGTTTCCCAATCGAGTGCAACCAACCCCTCGTGCCTTTGTTAATGTAGTACAACGGGCTCGTGAATCAGGTGACGGCATGCCGGTGCTCCAAGAACTCACGATCATATATACAGGTCCGCACTGAAATACTTGTCAGAGGATACTTTATAAAACAAGTTAAAATTTTTTTTTAATTTTTTTTTTATTTTTACACACTTATTTTGGTTTATCTTCCTTCTACAATCATTATCTGAAAATTAATGACTCAACTTCAAAGTCACCCTGTATACTGGGAGAGGACTTCAAGGCTTATTAAATCAGGAAATCTAGAATTAACTCACAGAAAGTAATTGGAATATTGAAATTCCTTTTCTCGCTCTTCTTCATAATATCTATAGAGGTCCATCACCTTTTTACCACTATCGATATATTTCCGAATAGTGTAAGCCCTTAGAGATAGTGCAATTCAATTCGGTGTATGACAATCAATTTTGACACGGGGTTCACCTGTGGTTGGACTTCATAATTATCAGGCCAAATGAAACTACATAAATATGTTTGACTGACCTTTTTAATGACGTTTTTTCGTTTTTGACAAAAATAAGCTAGTCAAGAATTTCTTAACAACTCAATTTTTTAGAAGACCACTTATAAAATTTTGTTTTGGCGTTTTGTGGTTATGTCTTTGCCCCGCTTTCATTTAGAGGTTCATCATCACTTTTCGTTAAACTTTTGTCACTGCACCAGGATACTTGTTGATGGCATCTGGATCTACATCTTATTATACAGGGTGTTCCATAATTATTGCGACAAAATGATAGGGGTTGTAGAGGGCATAAAAATATGCAATTTTGCCTTATAAACCCCTGTTCGTAAATATGCCGTTTGAGCACTACCGCTAATTTTACCTTAAGAGCTCATAGGAGAAACAAAAATTTCACCAGCTGCAAAATGTTCGTCTAGCACATTTCATGGTCTCGCCGGTTTGTAAAAAAAAGCCTGCTGAGTTTACATTTTTGTTATCGTAAATTCTCCACACCGATTCATTTAATTTATCTGAGTGGTGTGTCAAACTAGATAGTAAATAACAGTACCTTATTGTTAAAATGCAGCGTTATTCGTATGCGGAACTTACGGATATGCATTTAATTTACGAAGAAGCTGGTGGTAGCGGAAGACGAGCCTCGCGAATCTACGCCCAACGGTTTCCGGAACGTCCTCATCCGCATCACGCCATTTTTGCAAGGCAACCAAACTTTGGTCGCTACGTTTTGTTCACTGACGAGTCCTGTTTTACAAAGGACGGTTATTTTAATAGTCGTAACAGTCACATTTGGGATGAAGAAAACCCTCATGCCATAGCCCTCCATAGAGACCAACATCAGTTTTCAATTAACATCTGGTGCGGCATCGTGGACGAGCATATCATCGGGCCATATTTGCTTCCACCACGTTTGGATGGGCATGCTTATGCTTACAGCATGTGCTACCGGAACTACTAGAAAATGTGCCGCTGAACATAAGAGCCAACATGTGGTTTCAACACGATGGCGCTCCAGCCCACTTTTCTTTACAAGTGCGGCAGTATTTGGACGACAA